ATGATTCGGGAGCGAGCGCGGACTACTATGTACAGGAAGCGATGGTAACTCAGTTTACGGCCGTGGGGAGGACTGGGGCACCCCTAGATGTGAAAAAAACGCTCGTAATCCACCGGTCTTGGGCCGTGCCACGGCATCGGTGGGAAGACGTCCACCTGACCCTTTATCGTCTCGGGGCAAATAGCTACTGGTACGCGTCCGATTTGCGGTGGTTGGTTGAGTTTTTCCTACACCATGCAAAGGCTATATGTATATATGGCACTCACCAGTTCCGCAACCCACTTGTTGTAGGAAATCTGTTCGTCTTTCGAGATGGTGAACCCCGAGTCTTGTTCGTTCCACACCTGCGGTTTTTTTTTTTTGCGGTGGACGAGTCAACAACAAGAGAATGTACCGCAGTATGTGATTCGTGCTCTTAGGGTAGACTGCTATTTCCTGCCATCACATGACTTCTGTGCGAAAGCGGACGCTGTCTAAACAGCCGACGTCGAAATTGCCAAACACGGCAAGTACTACTACCCTTCCCGGCAGAGAGGCCCCGTGCCGAACGACGTGCGGAGAGAGATAGAGAGGCTGTATGTATGAACGACGAGCGAGCACACCGGGGGGCGCGTGTTGCTGCCGTGTTGTCCGCGCGGCGACTCACGGAGATGTTATCCGGTTCGACGGCATCGCAGCCCTTGCTCGCCGCCTTCTTCACGCGGTCCTCCATAATCTCCCTCACAGACTGCAACACTCGAGAACACGCAAGCCAAGCGCGGAAGAATCATCGGACGGAGCGCGGGCGGGCGGACAGGCGGGCGGGTCAACGGTGAATCGTGCCTACAGTGCAGTAGGGAACGAGGGTCGAGCGAGACACCCTCCGGTTGGGGTTTCGTTTTGCACTTCTTTTATCCCCTTTCATCGAACCCGGCGGGGTCATCAGAGGTTGTTCCCGGTATTCCATGTCCGGCAGGAAGGTCACCAGTACATCTACGCGCCCGGAACCAACCGAACTGATACCACATCACTGGCCGTTATAACTGATGTACCTCCTGGGTGATATCAATCCAGTTTTCGCCACTGTCGTCGACGGAAGCAGTCCCGACCACGGAAGACGGGAACACGCCGACGTCTTCGCGCCACGACTCCACGGTGCCGACGGAAATGTAGCAGGAGACGTGCTTGCCCTTACCGTGCAGCTCGTCGATCGTGTCCTGGGCGACGTCTGAAACGACGACGACGACAGATAGGTTGTTGGTCGTGGTGTGGGTTGCGGAGGGTTGAACGCCCGCCTCGTGTGCAAAAAGAACTTTTGAACGAACGGTGTGCGGTTTCGTACTCACCCAGGTCGATGAAGAACACGTCCACGTCCACGTCCGTGTTCACGGGCGTGTCGAGGTTGTATTGCCACGAATCACCCACTCTGGGAACCCAAACGCCTCCACCGCTAGAGGTTGAGTGCTGCTGCTGAGCCTGAACCTCTAGAGTAGGCGCCATCGTCGCTTGTTCTGGGGTCGGGGCCGGCACCGTCGGCTCCGGCGATGATGTGCCTTTGGAAGTTCATAGGGAGACCGGGCATGTATTGTGAGGGGATCAACACGGACGGGCAGAGCCACTGTAGACAGCTCTCAACAAAGCGAGATAAGGAGCGGCTTTGGTTCCGTACTCTCGACCGTGAGACCGTAACAAACGAGAGTCGATTCGTTACGACACCGATCCATGCCCACACTGACCGATTGTGTCTGCTCCGCACATGCGCGAGGGAAACTAAGTCAAGGTTCCCCCATCCAATGATCAGAGAGTATTACCATGCCCCGGCTTGTGGTGTGGATGCCCACGCCACGCGCACATATTAAGACATGTTTGTTTGGGGGCGTGGGTAAAAAACGTGGGGTTCGAGTCAACAACAAATTACTCCTCTTGAAGCAGTGTGTCCGTGTGATGAACCATGTCCACAGTAAAAGCCAGGGGATTCTACTGAAACAGAGAGAACGAAATGCAGAGATCTCAAACTATGGTGTGTGTACCGAGTACCAAGCATCAGACTACAAATGCACAGTACGAACTCAGGTGTTGAGAAGCACAATGACCACTAGACTTCTAGTCAGCCTACATCAAGCCGTGGAGCAACACTTTTGTTGAGAAACACAATGACCACAAGTCTACTAGTCAGCGCTGACTAGTAGTCTTGTGGTCCTTGTGTTTCTCAACAAAAGCCAGCGTCCGGGGGTTGAATCTCCCCTTGAGCATAAATTTCTTTGTGCCCGATGTATGAGGAGAAAAGAGTCTATGAGACTTCGCAAAGCAAGCCGATGTACCACTTGTACCGATGCAATTTCCGGGCAAGATAGCGCTGATCACAGGGAGGGATGGCAACCTGGGGGGACGTGTTCGTGGCTGCAAAGCCAGGTCGGACACGGGCATTGACTTTTGTTGAGAAGCACAATGACCACTAGACTACTAGTTACGCTGACTAGTAGTCTATCTAGCGGCCATTGTGCTTCTCAACATCAAGCACGTGCATGCGCGCTTCGAGGTTTCATCAATGTTGCAATTGATACGGTGTAGACGACAGAGTTGTAAGGGGAGAAGGTCCGCTGCTCATTGTCTTGAGTGAGGCATAGACTCTACAGCACTTGTTGTTCTATACTACCTTGCTTCATCCTCGCTCACGGGTCAGGTTTGCTCAGCGTCGTACAAGGAAGGTACGGCGGCGGGCCTGGCAGATTGAATACCGTGTACTGCTGTAGTGTGTTACCTGTACGGATAGTGTAGCGTTGCATCGTGTGCTACTTAAATTGTTACAAAGGGGGGTATCGAATTCACCAATAATACAACAGTAACATGGCCGGCCGCAACACTCAAACGTGGCAAGCTGCAATAAATTTCGTTCTGTCCGGCAGTTTGTTACTCCATGATTTTAAACATAACATCTGGAGGGCACCTGTAGGAATATATCATATATATATATAACCAACCATTTGTGCACATAAGAGGTGTAGGAAGATAATTACGGGTCCCTGTCGGAGACAGAGGCCTGTACTCTTGCAGTATTCTCCCACTTCCAAGAGTGGCTATTTCCTTTCGTGAGATGTAACGAGGAGATGAAGGTAGAAAAAAAAGTGGCCAGAGGGTCGAGAGAGGCGAGCCGGAGGCTCCCCAACTCTTCCCTCGGCAATCGGCCATATACTTCGGAAGAGACAAATCTCCTCGGTGCTTTACTTGCCACTTCTCCCGATGGTATATTTGGCAAAAATGGGACTCTGCATACAGAAGCTTTCACCCAGTTCTCCCGTGATGTTTCGTCAGGGGCGTGGGCTACATACGATGCGCTACAGGGCTACCGCGCAGGCCTTCGCCATACCCTCCTTAGTTCGAGTAAAGTGTATCATATCTTTTGTGGTGTCGCAAGTGATTTTTTTCGAAAACCGCTCTTGCTGTCTACAATACATAGACCACTGCTGTACATCCCATCGTCGAAAAATAATAGTTCCGGCGGAAAGTACACACAGCAGCTCACCTTCACCGTCCACGAAGCACGGGGCCTGGCCCGCTACCGAGCACAGAGCCCCGTGTTCCTCGATGTTGGAGACGCAGCAGTCGTCACCGGTCAGTCCTTCGCCCCTATCAGAGCAACCGACCCCTCCACATGAACCACATTCGTGACGGCAACAAGCCTGACCGTTGAGGATGCCGTCGCACGTGAACGGGCTGTCCGATGGCGAGGTTACCGGAGGCTCGGTTGGTGTGTGCGTCGGCGTGGGCGGCGTCGGTATCGGAGAGGGGGCCCGGCATACTTCCAACTCGGCCGTCAGGTGATCGATTTCTTGCTGCTTCTCTTCGAGGAGACGAGAACAATGAGAGGCCTCCGTGACGTGGAGGGCCGCAACAAGAATGAAGGTGATGGGTGATGGGTTCATCATCCTAGAATCGACCTGACGAGCAGAGATTGCCGCCCACCCGCCCAGAGTGTAACGCTCGGAGGAAGGGTGTGGTGCGTTGGATCTCTGGCAATGGTGTGTACGAGTGCGTGTGTACGAGTGCCTCAACACACGTGTGAATACACCCGCGATCTTTGGATCTTTCGTGTTCTTCGGCATCCGGATTCAGGATAAAGAGCAGAAGAATAATTACAGTTTTTTGTCGGGCAGCTGGTGGAAATAAATAGTCTACACCGCAGGTAGTCGGAATGTACAACATACAGGAGTAGGTATTCCTCGAGGGTACCAACTCTAACAGCAGTATAGCCTCTGCTGATCGTATGCATACAGAGCCCCTCAGGACAGCGACAGAGAGCGAAGGAGGAGGACCGTGTATGGCGGTACGTAGACTATTATGTTGAGAGTGGCCACTAGTTGCCGACTCGCTGATGAAGAATGGCACGCACCCGACGAACGCAAGAAAAGTCTGCGGATGGCACGCGGGTGAAGAATGCATGGATGATAAGAGAATGCAACAATTCGTTCAGGAGGGTTTGGTGTGCGGGTACATGTAGTCTTAGCCTTCCCCCCCCCTTGCGGTAGGCAAGGAAACATTAATGGTCGACTGCTTCACACGCGGTAATCGTGTTATTATTGTGAGACGTGTACAGTAGGTGTGCCTATTTCCTGAATGGTGGAGTGGAGAGAGAGAAGAAACCGGGGGACAAACGGCAACGTCGCAATCTGAAGAGAGCTACAAATGTATACCTTCACAAGACTACAGCTACATGTATGTAGTTAGGGAGCACGTTTGTGTAAAATGTGTCGTGTACGCACCTGCAACAGTGTACAGATGTCATCCGTTTGAGGAGCCCTCCCGCCCACGTTTATTGTTGCTACAGGATAATTTTTTGAGAGGTAAATATCGCCGAAAGACGTGGTGGCATCTGTACCCAGTGCATGGTACAGCAGTAGGACGCTGCCGCTCCTCTTCTCGAACGGGATGATTCATAGATGGAAACAAAATCGTCTGTGAGTACACGCCACCCCCCTCACTCCCAGGCGCGCTCCTACGAACCAACCGATTCTTCTGTGGATGGACTCACGTTCAGCATTGTTCAGGTGTACCATAGCCAACGCCACGCACAAGCGGCAGTAGCCAAAGGAGAACGATGGTGGTGACCATTATATGGCTTCGAAACACAAGAGGCAGCAATAACAATGAACCGCCCGGCCTTCGTCGTCATTCGTGGATACTACCCGCTGGCCTCCTCCCAGCGTACCATCTCCAACTAACATGCACAAGAGCTGCATGCTCCAAGCGGCTGCATGCTACATGAAAAAACAGAGATGGGCAGAGGCACCAACAAGATGCGCGTATGCCATAGTAGTCACGGGTTCTTGAGGCTTGAAAAAATCGAAAAGCTCAAGGCTATACATAAGCCAAAATTGTTGACGGCGGCCAAGTCTTGCACGCGTACAGTACAACACTGCTGTCAAGCGCTGGTGGAGTGCTCGCAGTCGGTCGGCGGTGTCGTGTGTACCAGCAGATGCTGACAAAATCAAAGGGTGTTCACACGACAAAAGTATACTACATCTGTCATGGTTCGCAGCAAGGGGAAATAACTCCCTCCGGGCAAGCACACAATCAGTCCCAACATGGCAACCACCTTCTCTTACATTTACATACACACCGCGCTCGGTACCCACAATTCCGACCCCTGGGCGGGTCCGCCGAACACGCATCCCCACAAGATGACCAATTTCCGACACTGACTGAACTGAACGGCATCCCACATGCCATGGTTCCCCCTCCCCCTTCCCCAACGAAAAAACACAAGCACGTACTTTTTATCATTTTCGTGTTGTTCGTGACGGCTTCGTCTGTGTTAGCACCTTCCGCATGATTGGATATCTAGATGCGGCAATCCAAAAAAAAGAAAACACACCAAGATGAGCTAATAGTCAACATGCCGGCCTGCGCTACACAGGCCAGCCGAGCGTGGATATCCGCCGGTCAGACGCGAAGAAAGGACCACGAGTACGTAGAGTACACGATCCTTACGACGAACATGAAATCGAAATGGCACTGCTGTACAGACAACCTGGCGGAGGCGCAGCGTGGTCACGCCCTACGGCGGCACACCCTTGATCACGAATCCACACCCTGCGGGAGACGCCAAAAAACGCGACAAACTGTAAGTAGGAAATGTACTGCTGTGCACGATGCCGTAACCACACACAAATTTCGTGCAAAAATGCAAGCGACGAAGTAACCCATCGACCTACCTCCCCCCCCCTATTCAACAAAGTTGACATGTTTCCACGATGCAAGCCATGGCTTGCGGCCGTTTTCTGTTTTCTCGAGGGCGACACCTGCTCATCACCGTGCCCGTCTACACTAAATACCGTCACGTACCTCGGGAAACGGCATTTAATTAACTCTAGGAGCATATGATTTCAAGCAAGAACTTTGAAGCGGTACGACTCACCAACGCCCCCATTCCTTGGGCTTGGGGTAGCAAGCCAGGCAACGTAAGGACCACACCGTTGCTCTTCCTAGACCAGCCAGGTGGTCACAGACAAGCTCGCGAGGCGAACACTTCGAAACACAAAAACACGCATACGAAAGCTTTGCCAAACGGGAAAACCACACGGACTGTGCTTCACTGCCCGCAAGAGCAACAAATCCAAAGTAAAAAAAACAGAGGCCCGAACTCAAGCACCCCCTGAAAACCCCCCCGCCAACTTACACCCAAACCTAGACTCGTGCTCACCGGTGTTGCGTTCTGCTAGTGGGGGCCTGCTACCCGAACCGAGCCACCGAGCCAGCCAACACATGCAGGCCGAAAACATGCCACGATTCGGACCGATTTTCCCGCGTGCGATGTAGATAGCCCCACCCCCCCATGCGTCCGTCGCAACCATTTGATTGTTGAGCGGGCGTGATCGCTACACCGCACGAGCCGGCCTATAGCTAAACCGGGCAGTGTAGTCGATACTCCCACCGTACCAGAAGACGGCGCCTCGGATGATAACCTGACCTTCTCCATCCGATCGTCAGCCCAAGTCACATGTGCATGAGCTATCGCCCAACGAACTCCGGCCGCCCCCCCCCCGCCGGCACCCCGAGCGGTTGGAAGGCTGTAGGCTTGCGTTTGTCTCTCATTTGCGCCTCCTCCTGCCGATGTCTAGTAGCCGAGCAGCAGTCGTCTCTAAAAGAAGGAGCCCACGCGCGCCAGCCATCCTCAAGTATAATCGGCGGTGATGGTATCAAGCGATACCAAGAAACAGGAGGGCCGAAAGAGAACGCGCGCTTGGCTCGCGTGCCCCGCTATTTTCCTGCCCTTCCCCCCCCGTGGGCCTTGAAGACCCTGACGGGGTTGGCCCCCATACCGCCTCCGGTCGACGCTCTCGTGAAATGAGGCCCCGCGCCCCCGCTGCCGTGGCCGATGGACTTTATCTGCATGCCCTGGGACGGCTGCTGCTTCATCTTCTGCTGCTGCTGCTGCCGCTCTGCGTACATCTCTTCTCGCGCCTCCCGCTTCGCTCGGTCCACGACCTGGTGCTTGTCCTTATGGAGCTGCTGCATCGCCATTCTCCCTCTGCAAATCTTTTCGTTGGAGGAGGAAGACAATCGCGGAGGGGGGTCGGATGCAAAAAAGTGAGTTTTAATTAATCCCACGAGTCAAAGCCTCTTGGCACGGACGAAACGCTGCCGAAGACTCGCCTTTGGGGGTGCAAGGACCGATGGTTATGGGCGTGCTAGGTGCCAGGGTACGGGACCGCAAACACCAACAACAAAATTAAGAGATGCCAATTGAACACGCGGAGAGCATAACCAACCAAGACGACCTGCGAAACAGCGCTCTCCAGCCGGGTACACACAAAAGAACGAAATCGGCCAGGAGTCTTCGGGCGGGGCGGAACCGCGATGTGTTGCCAGACAACACCGCTTGGCCAGATCGTTGCTTTTTGCCTCTGTCGGGGTGGTTCAGCTGGGAGGGCAGCGGCGTTTGTGGCTGCTCGCGCTGCCTTCATGTCTATCAAAGGACAGTCTATTAATTGTCTGTGCATGGTGATTCCCTGGTACCACGCTTGAGCATTGTCGTGCTGTGGACGGAACGGAACAGGGTGACGCTGCCCTATTTTGCACGTAGTCCTCACAACCAAAGGAATGACTTAAGCTAGTCTCCGAGTTACACGAAGACATTGAGGGCATGCAGCGGTGGACGCACGATCGCTCTTTGAGTTAGAACGCAAGCCATGTTTTTAAGACTGAAACGCACACGTTGAACAATCTAAGCAGGTTGTTGTATTGTCGGCCGGGGGGGGTAACTTGAACGAGTTTCACACACAACAGGGCTTTGTCAGAGAAGGGCCGGCCGCCTTCTGCCTACAGATAAAACAATAAAAAAAACGTCACGCGCGCCTAAGAGCCCCACGCATACGCACAAAAAAAGAAAAACTAAATGAAACCCAGGAACCGACCACGATGCAACAAGAGACGTAGATATCACAGTCGGGCGCAACTACACACACTTGAATGAAAAATACATACAAAAGGACAAGTTGGCAAGGCGCACAGGGTCACACGCTTGCCGTGTTATTTGTGTCCTAGGACGCCTTTCCCAGGAGTCAAGAGAGAGAAAGAGAAAGACGAACCCGGCAGAGAAGGGTTCTTTCGCGCAGCGACCATGAGTGCGTGCTGGCCAGCGCGTGCGACGCAAAAAAACATGCGCGGCAGCGTACATGATGCCACACCGCCGCACCTTGCCTCCCAGATTGATGATTTGCCGGTCCCTCGTGCGCACTCCCAGAGCCGCATCGCTCAGCGCCTTGTCGTTCATCTGCAGCTGCCTCTCGTTTTCCTCCTTCTGCGCCTGGATCTCCCTATTTCTCTTGTCGAAATCAAGCTCTTGTGCCTGTGTTTTTGTCGTTCGCCGCCGGAGACACCACACCAAGGAAACAAAAAAAAACAAATACGCACGGAAATAAAAAAGGGAAGGGAGACAGGGAGTGGCAGGCGGTGAGGCCCGATATTAACAGCGACGGTTTTGTGTGTTCGCTTTGTGCTGCTAACCCACCCCGGTCGTTTCCGCCCCACGCCTATACCTGCGGCAGCCAAACAATCAGGGCTGCCGTCGCAACGAGCAAGCTTCTCTTGTCGGCTACCGAAGGAAACAACGTGGTGGAATATGTAGAAACAACTACAATCCATTCTGCGGTGCCCCATCTACGCTACGAACGACTCTTACGGAACGTACCGCCATCGCGAAAACGGAACGTACCTTGAGTCTGGCCTCCCCGTCCTCCTTGATCTCTTTGAGGAGGGCTAGCTCGGATCTCAAGCGCTTGACTCGCTCCAGCAGAACTTTCTTGCTGAGTGATGCGCCGTTAGGGACGTTGAACTGAGGCCAAAGAAGCAACGGGGAGGGCGACAGCGGCCGACAGGCCACGGGGTGGTATCGCAGAGAAAGGCGCGGTGTTGGGGCATCGCGTCGAACGCTTCCCAAGGTCGTGCAGACTCGTGCACGGTGGTAAAAAGTGCAGCAGAGAGAGCGGGAGACAGAAAGGAATAGCTGAACGCAGCGCCAGCTTTGCCATCTAGTAAGACGAGCATGACGAGACACAACAAGGACAAGGGCACCATGGCGGGAAAAAAGCGCTGTGCCGCAGGCACCTTACGCCGTAATACGCGCGTCTGAGCGGCTCACGCATGTGAGATGGGCGGACGCCACGCGGCGCAACTCAGCTGAAAGGCGGCAAAATAGCGCCGAATGCCATAAAACGGGAGTGTGGCTGCAAAAACGCCTTCAGCTCGAGAATACGAAGAAGCGCTGGCAGACCCACCGCGCCGTCCACCAACAACGCTATTCAGGGTTGCGGTGGTCTAGGACCAACGTTTTCCTCGGCGTGCGCAACAGCAGTACAGCAGTAGCCTATGCACCGGTCGTGCATGGCAGCCGCAAAACACCACCGACAAAATAAGTCGCGCTCCCCCTTCGTGTGTGCATGCACATAGCTCCCGACGACTACGGCTGTGTCCGCATTTCGCGCACGCTACACACTCGTGTATCATACTTTCAATAGACTAGTCAACAGAAACAAGCCCGACTCACGTTGTCATATTCGTCTGGAAACATGCGTTGGGGATCAGTGCTCGACGTGGGCCCTCCCAGCGCTGGCACACCGCGGTAGTGTGAGTCACGCATGCCTCCGCAACACCCTCGAAGATGCGCGTGGGCGTGCCGGTGTGTGGTCGGCGATTCGACAACCAGCTTCGATCCCCCTCCTGCTGCACAACGAGAAGAACGGGAGAAAATGGGAAACACACGTTTTAGGCTCGTTATTAACGTTTCGGACAAATCGTGCAATTTTCCACGGAACGGTGAAAAGAAAACCCGTCTTTTTTTCGCTTGTTCTATTCGTGATCTCATCGCAAAAAGTACGTTTCCTTCCCTGAATACACGCTTTCCTCGGTACACAACAGGTTGACTTGGTGTTGCTCACCATAGAGCAGCGGAAAAAGAGTAATGAGCAGCACCCGACACGGACGGCAACACACTTGAAATATATTATCCACCCGACATGCTGTTTTCAGTTTCAGCAACAACAGGCGCAGGGCAGATTGTCGCAACCTGCATGTTGCTTACGATTTCTTCAGTTTGCAAGCTCATTTTTCACGGTTGCGACTCCCATCTCTGGCCACCAACTGCCCAAAGGTAGACGAGCTGAACAATCATAGGGCGGCAGCCGCGCTGACGGCCAGCATCATCTAGATGGCCAATCCGAAATAATTAGCGTGTCGGAGGTCCTGTTACTCTTCTGCTGCGTGGTGCCGTGGATTGATGTTGACGTGTCCGACCAAAAACAGATCATCTCGCCGCATTTTTTCCAACGGCATTTTGGTGAGGTGGCACACGTCCCTCACACACCTTATTGAGCAGCGCCCAAGCACCCAATACCCACGAAGCAGCACGGCGCCGGGAGATGGTATAATATAGACAGCCGAACCGAAGGGATCGGCGCGTTGGAGGTCTTGGTGCTGCTGCTGTAGTCGTTATACTGTTTTCCGTGATTGCTGTGTGTGATAGAAAAATATTCCCCAGCACCAACAGCAGCAGTTGAAGCCGAGAGCACTACGCGATGTCTAGTTTTTGACCAAGAACGGACTGAACGCCGCTTCTGCCGCTTGTCCATCTCCACAACAGACCTGGATGTGAGTCTGGCAGCAGGTCTTTCTAGCGTCACAGCAGTGATGTTACAGCCCCCGTGGTGCGCTTGTCCGATGCTTCTGTCAAAAACACGGATCCGTGAAAGTAGCAAGCCCCACAATACCCCGACTCCTTCTTTTCACGTTTTCGGGGAAAAACGCCTCCATATATGTTCAAGAACAAACGATTCCGTGTAATGTTCCTTGATGTTTTGGTCGTTAAAAATTAAAGAGAAATAAATACACGCACAGAGAGTGTGGGTAGTCTTTCTGTGCTTGTATTTATTTCTGCTTAAAATAACGGACGCAGCAGCCACAGCAGTTATATTACAGCAGTATTTTTACCTCGCAATATAATGTGGTCATCAACCAATCTGGAAAGGTGAAAGGGAGGTTGATGAGCAGCTACTGCTGAAGCTGTGGTCATCACGAGTACACACGAGGGAGTTGTGGGTGCTGCTCTCCGCTATGCTAGAGCCAGGACACGTATTGTATGCTGCGCTACCGTGGAGTAAGGCAAGTGCTGTCGTGCATTGTGCACTGCTGAAAGGCGGCGTGTTCTCGGATCAGTTTTTTTGGTTCGTGAACAGACGGAGGGCAACACCATTGCTGCACCCTTCCTTGCTGTGCAATTGAAGGCGTGTTTCGCAGAGGACCTCTCCTGTGTGTCCCTGGATCGTAACTGCTAAGGAGAGAAGGCAAAGCTTATAACAGCAGTGATTGGTGTTGGCAAACGACTGCTGTAGATGCATACCCAATCCCTACTTTGAACACACCACACACGCACCGGCTTGGCTCTTATTCTTAGCCTCTTTGTCAAGGGTAGACCAAGACCGATCTCGTGCACTGCGGCTGTCCCTACCGAAGCTTGGGCAAACCACGGATGAGACGTTTCACATTGCAGCTTGTTTGCATCCGCTGCCTGCAGCACGAGTGCATTTATCTCAAGTGCAGTTCAACAAAGTGGGAGATGAGTGACTCTTGTGTAGAAAGTAAACATAACCTCAACAGAAAGTTTTTTCTCACGTCAGAGGATCCTCTGCATACGCATCAAGAAGCACAGCAGCAGTAGTCTGTCTACCCGTGGGAGCCTCTAAGCAACTCGTCTAAACTGAACACGGAGCTTCCAAAAGCACTCACAAGCTGGTTGGCGGCCTTGATGCTGTATGCAGTAGAGGCTCCGGCAGCAAGTGTCGGGGTGTGGAATCGGAATCACAACCAGGGCCAGGGGGAGAGCCCTGGGGGAAGCGGCGATTGGGGGTAACGTGAGGTGCCGGGGTGACGTGAACGGCAAAACGGAAAAATTTTCAGTTTTTTCGGCCGGAAGAAATACGCCGGCAACTTTTTCCGTCGAGGACGGGACGACGCGGCACGTACGAGCACACGCAACCAAGCGCTCCTTGCGCAGAAGGCTGAGCAGCGGAGACTGGGGTTTCTTTCACAGCAACGTGTGTGCAGTTGTTGGGTCGGTATTTGGGCGCGCGAGAAGGTTCCTGGTGCCCGGGTGCGGCGGAAGAGCAGCTCGCGTTTTATTTTGAACTGGATCTTTGATCGAGGTAGGAGGGCCTCTGGAGGAGGAGAGACGATCGCGACTCAGCGGGAGGCGGCAGGAGCCCAGGCGGCAAGAACCCGGCCGTCTGTGAGTGGGTAGGAGGAGAAGGAGGAGGGGGCGTCCCTGAGTGGTCGTATGGACAACAGTGTGACCGGAAAGGAGAGCGACTCCGGCAGCAGCTCCAGCTCGGTCGTAGAGGTGGTCCCTACCTCGCGTGCACGTGGAGGAGGTACGCAGGAAGTCAGCAGTGAAGCCTCGTCACCTTTGTCGAGGGATTCGAGCATGGCGCCTCCACAGGTGGCCAGTGGGCACGGTTGTACGGGGGCGTTGTGTAACCTCCGGCCAACGAGGGGTTATTACATGGGATAACGTGGGGGGGTTACAGGCCGAGGCGGGCATAACGTGCCGGTTTATGAAAGCGGTTATGCGCGGATTGGTGTGAAGGAGGAGGAAAGAAAACAGCAGTATGTGTGAGCTTTCCCCTCCCTTCCATTCATTGTGTTCCACTCCGGCCGGTCGCCCCGGTGGTCTAGTGGTATCCTCGTATTCCGCTAGTCGCAGCGGTCGTGAGTTCGAATCCTCATGGAGTGAAAAATTTACGAAATTTGCGGGTGAAAGCGAAATAAAGCTGAAAAGCGCTCGTGAGTACCAAACTTAGACGTTAGTTAGCACAAGGGACGGCTGGACCCTTCTCGCGATAAAATAATATTCAACACGCACCGCAGGAGGAAGGTGGGGCATGAAAAGAAATAAACAGAAGACAAATGCCCTGGTGTTTACCCCCTCGTGTGTGACCCTTGATGGTTGTAGTTGTACGAAAAAATACACTGAAGAGTGTAGTACTCTACATACGCTGAAGTGTAGTACACGTCTCACCACGAAAAATGGGGGGACTGTCGCCATAATAAACAGGACGAAAACACACACTCTTCTGCCGTTGGGTTATTCAAGCGATGTATCGACAGACAAATTTCCTCTCTTTCGAGATGACTAGCGCAGGAACGTCACGCAACGCGGAGGGGATCGAACCAGCAAACTGTGTAAAAGTCTAACGGTGTACCGTTACGCTATATGTTAAAGCATATCACGTAGAGCTCGTAAATTCCATGATGAATCTATAGTGATGGGGGGGGGGGGGGTACTCATAGTCGTG